AGCTGACAGACATAACCCTATCACCTTGTAAATTTGTAACATGTAACAAATACATCCAGCAGACAGAGAAACATTTATTATTAACCTAACAAATGTCAGTGATATTTGATATTCAGTCTCCTTTTAGTTCCAGCTCCTAGGAAGAATATCTGTGCTTTTAGCTGCTAACTTTCCTCACAAGCTAATCGCTACCTTTGTCTTTCATTTGTTGCTAAGCCGGTAGCATACACTGTGTTTTTCAATTTTCGAGAGCTGCTTTTGCAAGAAGAAATTGCCGCTTGGAAAAAGTGACAAGAGCAGTGAGACTGAACCTTGAATTAAATTTTCTGGGCCTCAAAGTATAAACCTAAATATGGAACTACTACTGAATCGTAAAAGTACAGTAATACAAGCTCAGTGCATAAGAATTCAGCCATTCAGAATACATTCTGAATTACTGACTGAAATATGACTGTTGACTGAGTTGCTGCTGTAGACCATCGATATCATAAAATCTTGGCTCAACAGCAGGCTCCAGTGAGAGGGTAATACTGCTCAGTCAGTCTCTTTTATACTGCCTGTAGTAATTCAATTATACCTGCTGGAGCTCTTTTTACCTCTGTAATTTGTATTAATAACCTGTTGGTGAAAGTGAAGAAAATAACTCTGTTACAGCACGTGTGTGTGCATGCAGATGTTTGCAGGATGGAGGAAAAGGGGGCCGAGAAAAAGACAAAGAAACTGCTTTAACAAGGACAAAAGCATACATTTTGCACATAAAAGTACTTATGCTACAGGAAGGTGTAGGTGTACACTGAGAGGAAAGGGGGAGGCTGGGAAGTAAGGTGCTGAGCTGAGCCGAGATGGATTTCCTGCCTGAACCACTTTATACACACGTCGTATAGTTTAATTACCCTGTGAAAAAAATTCCTGGATCAGACTACGACATCGGTAACTCTAGAGGGCCTTGACCTGAGTGCTGCCCCTGCTCTTTCCCGACAGTCCTGTTTTCCTTCGACGCTCTGGACAAGGCTCAGACTGGAAGTGAGGGGTCCAAGGCAAAGGCAGCTAGAGGGGCCATTAATATTTATCTGTTGCATGGAAGAAATGCAACCTGATAAACACAAAAACAGCCACTTGACACAGACATAAAAAGGCACACAAACTGAGGGGTTATAGTAACAGAGAGTTCGTGAGCCTGTCAGACACGGTGCCAGGGCCCAAAACCTCTCAAGTCCAACGTTATGATTATTCCATTTTACTATTCACGTGAATAAGCCATATACCATGAGCCCATGTGCCTGCAGTTACACACGTCATGTTAATGTGATTTTTGAGATCTGACCATAAAGATTGGATTTTATGTGATCACATTATTAAACGCCCACATTTGGTCTGAAAATGGCTGTAATACATCTCCCCAGGTTGTATTTATTTTAAAATATGTCTGGATAATCTGAACCCTCACACCTCCAGTCCTTTTTATTTCTCTTCATTACTCAAAATATGCATTGTGGTCAGATTGTAATCACACTATGAGCAGTACTGAATCAGCCTGCTCGATTCCAGAGCTACTCCCAGAAAATCTTCAAGAGCAATGTGAGCACAGTCAGATTTCTGGGAGTCCAGGCCGTCACTTAATACATCCTGGCATCACTGGATGATAAAATTTCATGGCTGGTTACGGCCAATGGGAAACTGGGACCAGCAGGGACAGTTACAGGACCGTAAAGACATGAGTCAGCGTCCCAAAGACAGAATAAGAGAGGAGCTTTGTGATTGCAGCGTAGGAGAGACTTTATTAAGCCTGATTTATTAAGCCTTTTTGCGTATTGTTTTTAGTAAATCTGCATCTAGAGACATGCATGGCATTTATCAAACAGACACAACAGCCTGGAGTTTGTCATCTGAAGTGCATTCCTTAATGTGTATGACTTTACAGGAGTTATTGAAAGTAATGGAAGGGGACATGACAAGTGTGGTAGACAGATGTTATGTTGGATTTACTATCACTATAAAAATAGAGTAGGCATAAACCTGTTCTAAGGAACGGTTGTGGTGAAAAAGTTAGTAGTTCAAAATCTGTATTGATACAGATCTGCAATTAATTAGTTACAAGTTATAACTGTGTGGCTATTAAATTTGAACTTTGAATTTATTGTGCAGATACCACACTATGACGATAGTTTCAATGACTTTCTCTTTAATTTTCTTGGAAGTATGTGTAATGACTTCCACTGAACTACTTTTACAAATCTCTAAAAGTAAACATTATTTGATCAGTAATATTCTGTAATAGTTTAATGCAGGCTTAGTAGTTTTAAAATTCCCTCAAGATACTGTAATTAATGAGTATTTCTATTTTAACTTCACTAGTTTTTGATTTCTTTCTCGAGCTTCAAAGTTCTCCTTGTATGAACCGAGAAGGCAGCCCCGGTAACTACGTGCGTAATTAGCTGCTGCTGTAGTAAATCAGACACTAATTACATGCAGATTGTGAGCGTAAAGTCGAATGAACATGCAGCACGAATTTCCCCTTCTCCTTCAAGTGCATAAATGTGGCCCTCATCGACTGCTATATCTGCTCTGCCTTCCCCAGGCCTTTACTGAGACTTCTGTGTTTACTGTATGTGTGTGATTCAACGTGTTTGTTTATCTAGTTATAAAGTATGCTCATACATGTGCACAAGTTCTCTATGCATGTTTAAGTATGAATCCAAGTATATGCATATGTGTGTGTGTGCATGTGTTTATGCACGTAGCAGGCTATAACTGTAATGGTTCTTATCACTTCACACCAGCTGTCAGCTCTCTCTCACACAACGCTGCAGCCTGTAGGTGACCTGACACACATGTTCACCTCCCCGTCTATCCAGGCCAGGTTGGACACACGGGGGGAAGCTAACACACAGCTGCTTTACTGAAGGGCAAACATTTTAAAGCAGGCCAACCTGGAAAACCCGAGGCTGCATGAGAGCGGATTTTAATGGTAAAATGTGCCTGTCTTATTAGGCTAAACAAGTCCCTGCTGGTTCACTTAAGTGACACAAATTCACAAGACGATGTAATAAGCAGTGAAGGATGACAAATGTCAGTTTAATGTATATGGGCTTTGAACACTGTTGCATACCATCATATCACTATCTATTCCAAGTAAAACTTTGTTGTTAGGAGCTGTTGGTAGTCTGTGTAATGTAAGCTGGCAAAGTCTGAGACTCAGCCACATACACAGTCACATGTTTATCCACAGGATTTCTTGGCTGCACACCCATCCTTTTTCTCAACACTGCCATTCCACACATTCAAACAGTCACTGTATACATATTCACATTCAGGATCTGCCCAGTAAAACCTATCTACGTTCGCAAGGGAATTTAGACACACAGGTCTCAGCAGTGTTAAGAGAAATGTATTCGCTTTCTTTCGCTGTCTTCATCCAGCAGGATTCAGTTATTTAATCATGTAACTCACAAGTTCAATTTAATGTTTACTGCCCTCTGTGCTTTTGTTTGAACCTCTCATACCCCAGTAAAGTACTGCATCAAAGCTTTAACTTGGCCTTCATATACAAATTATACATATGCTGTCCTGCAAATGATCAAATATAACACAAGGCAATAATAATGTTAACACCTCTTAAATATAGTACTAGATATTTTCGACAAAAGCACAAAAAATAGCCTCTTCGTCAATCTTATTGTTTTAGAAAAAAATGGTGATCTCATATCATCCCTTATTCAGCTTGTAATAGGAAACATGGCTGTTTTTTTTTTTTTTTCACCGCCTCGCTCGCCTCCATTCCAACTCCTCAATGCCTTTTTTAGCTGAAGGAGTTGGACTGGGTTTGTTGGCTTTCTGAGCGTTCCCATTATTTTCATTGTTTCATAAACACAGCGTGTAATAGGAGAAGAACGTGTCATCAGCACTTCTTTCTTCGTCTATGTACACCTCAGTGAAACATCCATGTTTTTTTTGTTTCTTTTTTTTAAGTATCATTGCACAAATCCATACCTCCATAACAGTCGTAGTACATATGCTAACTTCAAATGCTCAGACACACACATGGAAGCTGGCTGGTGCAACAGTGGCCTTGTCCAAACAGCACAAAGAGCAGAGGGAGCGAAAAATGCTCAGAGGAAGGAACCAGGCATTCAGCATTAATCATACACTGTGGCACACACACTTGCATGCGCTCTCTCTCTCTCACTCTCTCTCTCACACACAAACACACACACGCGCACCCTGGAGGCGGTACCACCCATTTTCAGATGCTCAAACACAGACACACAGTCGTACAGTAAACAGACGCACAGACACCCAACCACCACCTGTTTTTGTGGGCAAACACACTTACATGTGTGCGTATGTCGATGTACACACACACACACTTCCCTCAGGACACACTACACCATTCAGGAAACATTAGCAGCATTAGCCAGGAATGCTAATTGAAACAAACAGCTCATGGTTTCTTCATTTCTGAGGTGGGAGTTGGCTGTAATTGAGACTTCTGTGTGTGTGTGTGTGTGTGTGTGTGTGTGTGTGTGTGTGTGTGTGTGTGTGTGTGTGTGTGTGTGTGTGTGTGTGTGTGTCTGTGCAACACAGTTTTGTTCATGCCAGAGATCTGGGAACCATTGTACACGATCATTGTCCTGCTTTTTCTCCAGTTTTGCTTTCAAACACAAAAGAGAGCAAATTATTCACCATAAACACGTATTAGCGCTGACAGAATCAGTTTTCCAGACCAAAGCAAACCTGATCTCTCTTTCACTTCACAATTACATGCAAACACTCACTCTCAGCTCCAATCAGGATATGTTTGGAAGACCTCATTTAATGCAAAATAGAGATTCAGGCTAGAATTGCTGCTCTGATGGCTTCTCATGTTGCTTGGCCTGGAGTTAGAGAGAAATCCCCTAACCAGCAGGTCAAAGGTCAGCTAATGTAGCCTTTCAAAGTGTCCCAGGGCGAGAAATTGAACCAGTTCCTACACATCCATCATGTATTTCAGAGTCCCTTACCTGCACCAAAAGCAAAAAAATACGTCTGGTTAGGATTTCGCTGCAGCAGAGCAGACACTCGGCGAGCCATTCGCTCGTTGCGTTTGTAGATGAGCTCCTGGCGGAAGTAGCTGTCAATCTGCTGGGCCGTCATCCGGTCGTGAGCTGGCAGAGAGCTGTTGATGAAGTGAGGCAGCTGAGAGAAGGAGAAAGATGGAGAGAAAATTATAATTTAAAAACCTTTATGGTGAAAATCCATAGCAGAATAAAGGTAGAGTCATCATTTTAAGTGAACATCGAACACAGAAAGAAAGAAAGAGAAAGTGTTAAAAAAGGGAGATGGAAAGAAAGAAAGAAAGAATGGAGATGGAAAGAAAGGAGAGGATGGAATGAGGGTGTTGGTGGCAAACTGGTATGTGAGTGTGCCCGTGTGAGTGTGAGACCTGGCAACCAAGGGTGTTTGTGATGTGACAGCTTGACAGAAAATGGCTCAACAGGCTGGTTTGTAAATGAGGAAGCATCAATGAATGGGGGATAGAGAGGGAGGAGAAAAGTGTCAACACCATGTGTGTGTGTGTGTGTGTGTGTGTGAGTATGCAGGCTGTTCTTGCACTTTGTCATGTGTGAGTGTGTGTGCGTGTGCGCGCTGACAAGTTAGTATATGTGAAGGCAAGTATATGTGTGCACGTGCAAGTACAGTATATCCATGAGTGTGAGTGTGTGAATGTGTGTTTAATTGCTGTGTGATTTATTAAGAGCCTGACAGTGCAGAGACAGGCCACACTGGCTCTGTTCCACTCTTGGCTGAATCACTGGATTCAACAGGCTGTTAATCTGCGAGGATGAGCGGGGATCGGCGGTGGGCTAGCGGGGGTTTGGCACCGGGGTCTTAGCTGTCCAATTCAGAAACACAACTAAGCATACACACTTCTGTCTCTATTTCTCTGTCCTCAGCTGTTTCACTTCTTCCCAGGGTATCACTGTACCTATATTTGACTTTTCTGGCTCTTTCTCTTGATATACACCCAGTCAAAAGCTTTAGAATAGCCCCATTTTTACAGTTTTTATTGAAATTTAAGCAGTTCAAGTCCAGTGAATAACCTTAAATGGTACAAACGTAAGAAGTAAACTGCCCAAGAAAACAGGCTTTTTTCAGGAATTCAGAAATTGGTTAACGCACAGCTTTCCTGCAGCTATGGAGGTAAACGAAGCCCTGAAAGTTAATGCAGATGACTTACAAACTGTGTTACTACACCCTCTGATGCATGATTAGAACAATACTGTACTACAGGAAGTAGTACTGTATATTGATATCAGAATGGTGAGAAAAAGTTTTGACGGGTGGTGTATTAAATATGCAATAAAATATGAATTATAGAAGATGGGTAAAATCCCAGTACACCAGCGTGCGACCATTTCACCCATTCCCCCCCTGTGGTGCCGAAATTCTTTTCCTTGTGTTGTAATTCCTATGTTGTGCTTTTTTTCTTATTATAAAGTTATAATCCATTAACCCTTTTTGGCTAATTACCATGGAATAATAAGATCATTAAAAACTTATTACAGCCAGGGGGGTTTTTTTGCCACCGCTTACTTCCTGAAAATCAGCATATATAGCACACACAAAAGTCTAATACTAACACCACAATCACATTTATTTCATCAAATCTCCTCCAACATATGAAATCCATATTTCCTTTCCCTAAAACCACATAATTCCAAGCTCTTGATGTGAGCTGATGTTAAATCTTTGGGATTTGTAAAAGCTCGATATTATGCACAAAGAGTTTCAGAGGGAATTGGCGCACCAGCTACAAGGAGGGTGCTTCACTGCCTTTCACGCTCTGCATTTTTCATCACTGAAACTGAGCCATTAATATTTCTGTAGGATCTCTGCCTCTGTCCCTGACTTCTGTTGCCTTCTTCCACACAAGAGTTCACGGCAAACCTGAGCGTACCCAGCTTTCACTGACTGTACCACATGTGAACAAGCTGCTGCTCTCCAGCATCCCAGCATCCATCTGAAATCTATATCTGACACATCTTCTCTCACTCACTCTGCTGCTCTCTCAGTCTGTTTCATATAATAGCCGAAAGGTTCTAATTCACACTTACACTGGATATTTATTCGATTCGTTTGTGATGTGCGTTAAAAGGGGGACTCCACAGATTTTGCACATCAAAGTGTGATTACTCTTGGGGAGTACTACTGCATATATAAAAACAGTTCTAAAGCCGTTTGTGCATGAAATCTGGTAAATTGCCTCGTGTGATGTCAGCTAAGGTAGCATCGGGGCTGAAGACTGCAAGTTCGAAATGAAACAAATCTGGAGATGTGGAGTTAGAAGGAAGTAAGTGTACCAGACCTCTGTAGCCGGCTCTTCATCTCTGCTTAGAGCAGGCAGCTCAAGGATACATTAGCTGCAACTAGCAAAAGTTGCATTGTGGGTAATGTAGGCACCATGTTTTGACAAGGAAGAGGAATTTGCCCCCCCCCCCCAAAAAAAAAATCTCTGGTTCTGCTGCATCGGTTTTGACCCTTTTTTTTTTATTATTTTTTAAAAAAATTTTTAGCTCCCTTGGGAGTTGGACAGTGTTACAGGAGTGCTCAGTTACACATTCACAATAACTGTATGTGCAATAACATAAGGATGCTTTCAATTACAGTTCATTTTTATTCACATTTGGCAGGTTGGTGGTTGTTAATGTCAAGATCTGATCAAATCCAAATGCTTTGTATGACATAAGCCAACATTATTCACTTGTCTGCTCCGCCGCACAGTAACTGAGAGCCGCATTCACACAGATATCTGTCGCCTGAAGCCTTGTATTGTCTGTGTTTTTTCAGGGTGAATGACCCAGGTTCATCCAGAGTGACAGAACTTTCATCCTGAATGTGAGTGAATAAGTTGAAAGAGTGAGAGAGGTGGGGAAGGAGCGCTTCATCATCGCTCTGATGAGTGAGGATAGCGTGAGTGTGTCATGACGAGAGACAAAAGTGTTCGGTCGGAGCGGGGTCAAAGTGGGAGTGGAGCGGTAAATGCAGATAAGTTATCACAGGAAAGGCCATTAGCTGCTCTCTATCCCAACCTATGCAGGAAATGTAGAGTGACAGCAAGCTATTTCCTTCCTTCCTCACTACTGGTACCGCTCTGCTCTCACTTTCTCAGTCAGTCTGTCCTGCCAGCAATTTTCTCTTCTTTTCGTTTTCTTGCTCTTTGATTTGGCTGTTTGAAGTTCTTTTTTTTCCTCTTATGTTCTCCTTTCTTATACTTCCCTTTCTTTTCTTTCCCATTTAATTATTTCCTTTATATTTAGTTTAGTTTTGTTTTCCTTTCTATTTTTTTTCTATTGTCTTTTCTTCACATTTTCTCTTCAGTCTCTTTTTGTTTTCTATTTCTATTTTTTTTCTTCTACCCACCTTTCCTTTCCTTTCCTTTCCTTTCCTTTCCTTTCCTTTCCTTTCCTTTCCTTTCCCTCCTCTTAGCATCAAACCATAGAAGCACCAAGGATTTACCACATGATATGAGGAATAATTGAGTGAACATAGTCAATTCATGTGCACAGAAAAGAATAATACAGTATTTACTCTGATTTTAAATCTTTCTGTATTTAACTTTCCTTAAATGTTTTTTTTTTTCTTTATCTACTTCTTTTTTTTTTTAACTGCCTTTAGCTTCCTTCTTCTCTATCTACATAGTTTCTTCTGTGTCTCACTTTGACTTTGTGTCCCTGATGGATTTGGGACCAGTTGAGTGTTGAAGTGCATCTACCCGCCTTGCACCGTTCTGCTGGGCCGCTCTGGGGCCCATCATTTCTAATATGATGAAGATTGAGCTGGGAGAGCATCAGGGGTGTTGGAGGCCTCTTCTGGATTAGGTCCTATCTATCAAAAACCACCTGCTCTTTTACAGCCCTGAAGGTTCACTCTCTCACACTCTCTCTCTCTCACTCACACACACACACACAAACCTGCTATAGATCACCAGGCTACAGGAGCAGGCGTCAGAGTCGGGCGTCTGATTGCTCTAGCATGTGCTGGGGAATGTTAATACATGTTATTATGACATGAGGAGCGGGGGCGAACTGGTATGATTTAAAGCGTTCATGCAGGAGACAACTGTAGCCGTGACTGCAGGTGAAACTGTGGCTAACAAGCTCTTCGTGGCCCCTGGAGAGCAAGAGCTGGATAGACACAGAAGGAGAGAGAGAAAGACGGAAAAAAAGGGGAAATATGTCAAGGCCACGATGAGTTGTCTGACCTGAACTTTTGTGCGTACGCTTTTCTTACTGTGTGTGTCTTTGGTGTGGATGATGTGGAATCTCTGCAGCTGAGCGGTGAGTTGAGGTTACATGGTGTGTTAGGTTTAATGGGACTTAAGGATCAGCGAGGGAGGTTGACACAGCATAATTGACTTATGAAGAGGGCTTTTCAAGTAATTCTGAATTCAAGAGTGGAGAGTGGAGTGAGAGCTACTGCATGTGGTGTCTATACCACATGCGTGTCTGCGTGTGTGAGTGTTTGTACTATATATTGAATGGCCTTTCAACAGTTTGCAGAGCTGGGTGTGAAGACGGGTGACCAGGCCATCACTGAAGGAGCACAGGCTATGTTAGGAAACACAAAGTTGGAGGAGGTCAGATGGTGTATTTACAGCTGAGTCCAGAGCTATTAAAGTGTCAGACTATCAAGTAACTTGAGGTTGAGAGGGATTAATATGGCAATGTGCAGTTTTGTGGAAGTGATGTGCAAGCCGAAAAGTTTGAGGTGACGATAGTGTAATGGCAGAAAAGTGGGTATGAAGTGGTTGCCAACTCAAATCGAGGGTCTGACAGACTTGGGTTTTTGAACACCGTTACAGATGTTTTTGGACTGAAGTAGTTGTTACTTTGTAGCCATTATTTTGTGTGAGTATTGTACTGTGTTGGAAACTTGACCATTCTTTTGTTCCTGAAAACAAAACTAAATGAGAAAAAAATTGCTCCCAGTCCCATAATTTTATTCTTTGCAAACTGAAAAAGCATCAAAAACAACATTTTCCTTGTGACAGGCTAAAACTCTCAGAATGCGGTTAGCCCTGAAAAATGATAAATATATATGAGAAAATGTAATTTTATATTGCACCGAGAGATTTCCTGATTTCTCCATGATATATATATTTTTTATCAATGCGTCAGGTCCGGTCACAGAATCACAGCAGACTATAAGTTGGACTGAAGTATTTGTGTGAACATTGTTTTATGAATGAAAGCCAACCTCAACCCATTCATGGTCACACTGTTCAGCTTTCCCACGTGTGTTTTCTAGGTAGCGTTTTACTCTCTGTATTGCAAGGAGGGGCTGAGCGAATCAATCTGCTGTGTACAGTTCTGCAATGAAATAAGATTTTACCCATTTACAATAGTAAAAAAGAAAAGAAAATCGATATGTGGTGGTCAATGTTGATATTGTGGCAGGATGCTACATATAAATAAGCTCAGAACTGTCTCAGCTGATGGAAGGGTGAATAGATAATGAATACATTTTTCATTTTTTCATTTTGGGATGTAAAATCTAAGGGAGGAGACCAACCTGTGAGGTGTCATGGTTGAAGATAATGGAGCTGAGATCACCACAGTTGTAGTGTGTAATGAGGTCCTCGGTGGTGTAGGAGCCCTGCAGGCTGCCTGCTCGAACGCCCTCATGCTGCAGCAGTGTCTGGTTCAAAGCAAACAGCACCTGCAGGGAGAGAGAGAAGACAGGAGAGGTGCTGTTAGATTCTGCATCCACAAACTAAGTTTTCTCTGCTGTGTGCTTGAGAGGATTTTGCTATGGGGGGGGTTGTGCCCCCTTAAAAATATAATGTGACCTTAATATACAATGAAGGCGTTATGCTGAGTGTCAGAGAAATATAAGTTCTTCCACAGCATTTTCAATTCTTTCAGGATATTTTCATACACTTTCCATACAGGCTGACTACAGGTAAAAGCAGACCACAAAAGACATGGCAACACTCCACTGACTTTCCTCGAGGAACGAGGGAGAGAACAGGGGAGGAAGGAGAGGGAGGTAAAGAGAGAGAGAGTGAAAGAGAGAGAGAGAGAGACGCTTTCAAAATAACCCTCCTTTCTCTTTCACTGGGACCAGGGTGTCGTAAATTTACGGCGCCCATTAAAATCAAAAGTAAACCCTCTTTAGAGGGAATTTATAGTGTGCAGCCGCCAGCCAGCCCAACGACTCCACAGCTGTCCTAGACACCAGGGGTTAACCTCCCAGCTCCCGCCCTCTACAATCCCACGCCACCTCTGACTGGCCTAGAAACTGGGACCAAGTTGTCAATCACTATTAAGCTCTCTTACAGGAACCAGAGGTGTGTTTGAAGAGGAAAATGTGTGTGTGTGTGTGTGTGTGTGTGTGTGTGGGTGTGTGTGTGTGTGTGTGTGTGTGTGTGTGTGTACATTTTTTTTCTCTCTTTCTTTGTGTGGAACTACAGCAGATTTCACACAGGTCTACATTGCACCCAGTAAGACAGTTTCAGTTTACTTGATTAGAACAAGTGACTCAGCTCATCATATCTTCAAACCACACCGATCCATGCCTATGATCCCAATTACCAAGAAACCTGACTAGAGCTTCGGAAAATACTGCAGGGAGAACGTCAGCATCCTGGCCCACATGATTTGTGGAGCAGCTTAAGGCCGATACAGCTGCACAACTGATTGAGGCCGATGTCTGGGTCGTAATTCACGCAATTAAGTTATGTTTTCGCAATCATAAATGCCCATATCGTGCATATTGAATGCTTCAACTCCAGGTAACCCCTACGCTGGGATAATCACAACCAAGCTCTAAGCTCAACCTCGTGACTCTCCCTCTCTCTCTCCCTCTCTCTGAGGTCATTATGTTTGCTAACCAGTCTTGTGAGCTCTCTAGCTTTAGTGTGTGTTTTTTTTCATAATGCAAAGTGACAACTGATGAGCTAACGGCATATATAACTCTCTCATTATCCCTCTTTCTTGTCTGTATTTTTCTCTTCCTGTGCTTTTTCTCCACTTTCACTCCAAGACTCTCCATCCTCGTCTCATCTCTCTGCCAGCTCCGGATCCATGGCCCTTCCTCCCACTGTACAACCAAGAACTGAGGCTGATCTTATTTATTCTCTTTGACATGTTTCATCCAGTATATGTTTCTGCTCTGCTCAGCGCCGGGCTGTCGCCCTGCCAGAGGCGCATAATCCAGGAATAGGTCTTGAACAAACCTGTGACCAGTTCAGTCCTAAAAAAATATGACTTTTCTCAGCTCATATCTCAGCACCAGACTTCCCAAATCCAGAAGCCCCCCTACTGGTTCACTAATGACACTATACCTCATTTCAGTTTCTATTTCCATCTCACATGAGATTCTTTTATTGCTCTAAACTCCAGGTAATGTGGAGGTGTGATGCCAGGCCCAGAGAGGCTAATACCTGCTACTTCTGCTTCTGCAGATGCTGATTCTGCGCCAGTAAGTTCCCACCACCTCAAGTCCTTGACCCATAGATTTCTTTGCCACATTTTGAGGGTTTTTCCAAGAAAAACACCAGAGCACGCCCTGGGCAGAGTCGGGGTCCAGAGCTGGCAGAGCACACACACCTGCCAGGCTTTTTGTGATGCAGCCAGCTTCAGTAGTTTCCGTTAACATGGCAAACTGCACCAGACAGGACAGAAGGGAGAGTGAGTGCATTCGAGGATGTAGGGTAAGAAGCGTGTGTGTGTGTGTGTGTGTGTGTGTGTGTGTGTGTGTGTGTGTGTGTGTGTGTGTGTGTGTGTGTGTGGTTGGTTGGTTATGTTGTTAAGGGAGTTGTTATTTCAATATTGTCCGTCTCCCGGGGAAAGAACATCTCTGCAGCTGTAACCATGGCGCCTGAGTTTGTGCTGGGCTGAATGAGTGCGCATGTCAATCACTGCGGGAGAGGCAAAGGGGGAGAAAGAGGGAGAGAGAGGAAAAATGCAAACATTCCCTGTGTTTGTATGGTTGTGTGTGTGTGGGTGTGGGTGTGTGTTTGTGTGTGTGTGTGCGCGTGTGTGCGTGCGCTTGCAATTATATGCATAAATGTAAAATGTGTGTGTGTGTGTGCGCATGTGTTGACTGACTGAGTGGGTGTTCTCATGCTGAAGTGGTCCACTCACTTTGACAGACTCTGTTCACCACATAGTTAACTACTGTAGGTCTCTCCTCTCTTTTTTTTTTTCTTGTCTTCTCTAATACGTGCGTGAGAAACTCCCATTTTAATTAAATAAAAGCTTTATAAGAACAAAAGCTGGAAGGAGCAGAGCACACGGATGGTCTTGGATCCTGCAAACTGAGCGCAGCACTCCAAAAATTCATTAGCGAGTGTTGGAAAGAAAACAGAAAGCCGGGGCCGGGCGGGAGAGGGAACAGCATAAAAAACATTTTAAAAAATCAGAGAGACCTTTTATGTTTCAGAGTGTAAATGTCATTTATCAACATGTGTGTGCGTTGCAGCAATTGACCTTGAAGTGCATTAAGTCCTGGCTGTTAGCTAGCAGCAGCGTTAGCTTGTTTGAAGGTTTTACGGGTCTGAAGCATGTAATGAGTAGGTGCCGATGACAAGGTGCTGGAACTCAGAGAGCTCGCTCTTGTCGACTACATCACTCCCCTATTATTCCTCCTTAGCTCTGAATCGGAGAATGTGAGTGATGGATCGAGCGAAAGGGCTTTCAGGCTGTGATACAACAGGAGGAAGTGTCAAACTGTGGAGGCCAAACATTGAACTCTGGCAAAGAGGAGAAAATCTAATACACAGAATTACTATTTACCTGACAGATTTGAGTCTGTAAAAGAAATCGAAAGACAGCACACATCATCAACACCACCAGTTAATGCACAGATCAAGAAAAACGAAACACTGACACACGCCTGTCCTGTCTGTTTCAATCCCTTCACTCCCTCATGTCCACCCTAATAAAAATAATTTTCATTACTGACTTCTTCTACCTCAGCTGTGGTGAAACAATGAGACACTATTCCCCTTTTCCAAAAAGTGAATAAAGAAAGAACAAAGGAAGGGAGGAGTAATGGTATGAGGAAGGCGCAGAGAACAAAAAGCAGAGAGAGCTGAGAGTGTGAAAGAATGGTATAAGACAAATAAAGCCTTGTTCTCCAGGAGAGCAGCATGTGTTGCACAGATGGAGGTGATTCTTCTGTTTTTGTTTGGTGGAGAGTTTGGGTTTGGTGTATGGGCACAGGCCTGGCATGGGAAATGAGTGGGTATAACCAGGCAGGTGAAGGAAACCCTGGTGGAGCCTGCCAGCGTCAGTTTTCTTCCTTCACACATTTCCCTCTTTTCCCTGCTCTACATCATTTCTCTCAGTTTGTCTGTCCATGTATTTTCCTATGTTTGGAAACTGCGGAAAGTGGCTACGATGGCTTCAGTTTAATGTTTCATCATCTCATTTCTTATCATCACATTGGCTGCCACAGGAAATGAGCCTGATTGCTTTTCTGCACTATTTGCCAACCTTTTTGGTTTGTGACGGGGTCCATTTGTGCAATCCCTCATTTTCCCCTCTGAAAGTGTAAAGTTAAAACGATCCAATATCTCACATATTGGAAAAGTCAGTAAAAATAACAGATAAATGTTAGAAGCAGATTTCTTTTTTTCTCCTTCTTATTCTGTCTTATCTCAGTCCTGGCTCCCAGGTTGAAAACCACAACTTTACTGCACACAAGTTAGTTTTTTTTTTACTGCTAAGGAGGCTGAATTTCTCATAGTTTATAACAATATGGGACAAGTAAAGTGCTATTATTTGGTTTTATCCTTGTTCTTTCTCTTCTAAACAAGCACATATGCAACCGAGAGAGGAGGGATATGCTCCAACATTATCATTGTGACAGAAAGGAACACGGTTTATAGGGAGTGTGGTCTTAATTTAAAACAAAAAAAAGAGTAAAGATTAAATAAAATCCATCAATTACTGAAAACATGGTGCTGTGTTTATGGTGTTCACAGCAAGACCTATTAAAAATTAAAAAGTACAGCATTGAACATTGAAATTCAATAACACTGTTGGACTTATGATGGACAGTTTTAGAAAAAAAAAAAGTTTTCAAACCGAAGCAGAAGAACTGGGGGTTTCATGATACACTGGTGTTGACAATAACCGAAATGAAATATTGATATTGTGTTAATAATACACATATAATAATATCGTGATGGCAGATCAGTTCATCTGGTTACCTATATATTTTTGAACAGTTATGGTTACAGACTCTCTCTCCACCTCCCCGCACTCATATTTGAGTCTAATTAATTTGCCAAAAAAAGAGAAAAAGCACACAATAAACAAAGTTAAAGATGAATTTCACTGATAGCAGTATTTATTAATGGTGCATTCTCTTGGCCACGATAATCGTGCAGTGAAAATCTGATACCCTGACAGCCCTAAGCAGAACCAGAGATATCATCTTTTTTATTCCACTGATTTTTCTTCCTTGTGAAAATCCGGTGCCTACATTACCCACAGTGCAATTTGACCGCTGACAGTTCAGTCAGAGATCAAGTGACCCTCAGGAACCACAAAAGACTTTATATAACTTTTTTCACCAATAGACTTTGATGTGTAAAATCAGTGGATTACCTCTTTAATTAATTTATCAGTAATAAATTGAGATGTAACAATTTTTATAGTCCTTTTAAATACAGCGAATCCATCTAGAATTACAATTCAGCTCTTTCT